CCCCAAAACCCCAAAACCCCAAAACCCCAAAACCCCAAAACCCCGTTATAAAGAGAATAGGTTGAAAATATTACTCTAAAAATACTATAAGAGAATGATAAGAATTTGAGTGTTTAACAAGAAGATTGAAGAAATTTAGACTTTAGAAGTCTGAGAAATTTGTTTGAGAGTAGCATTGGCAAAATAATTTTTGTCCAAATGGTTCACAAATTTCCTATTCTTGTCACTATAGAAGATGTGCAGGCCAAGACAGAAAATCTGGGCTGTGACCAGCCCAGCCCAGATCTTTGAGTTCCTTGACCTGAACTTTCTCTTGGTCTTTGAAGCCCAGAGAGGAATTAGAGCTCCAAGACCAAGAGAGAGAAATGAAAGTCCTTGAACTTGATTGAGGTGGTTGAGATTTCGGTAATCATCGAACGCTATGGAACGAGGATCCTCGATACATTTCTTAACGATCGCTCAACGTCTTTGAGATAATGATCCATATTCATGATCTATTTTGAACATTAGTTTGGAAACAAGAATTAATGATTCAAATTTTCATTACCTTCTGAAGAGCAGACGTTCAAACCGTCATCCTTCGTTTCAAATTTTTGAAGCTTTGGGTCAAGCTCAAGGTAAGGTGTGATTTCTTGAATGTCACTTATACCTTGATACTTCATATTCAGATCCGGTTGAGGTTCGACCTCAAGCAGGTCGAACCCAACCAAATCGTGCTGATCTCCAGCAGAAAATCTGTCCAGATTTGGCATTTCTGGGTGAGAGTCCAAACCTAGGTGAATCTCGAATGGATCTGGAAGATTTTGTTCAGAATAATCTTCTTGGCCTTCTTTTACAACTGTAAAATGGATCTTCTGGTGTGAAGACTCATGTTCTAGACCAGATATTCCGGATTCAGATTCGTCATGGTGATAACTTCGTGAACTCACCCTCTCCAAGTTGAGGATGTGAGCCTCTGAAGGCTCATTAACATCCTGAGAAAATTTAATAGAAGCATTTTCACTTTTTGGTACTATCTTATGAGCCTTTGCAAATTGGCTAGAGAGTTTGAACGACTTGTGCTGAGGATCTATGAGGTAACTAAGCATATTTGTTTTATTTATATTCGTTCAGATATTTTGCTGTATTGGGGTTTTGGGGTTTTGGGGTTTTGGGGTTTTGGGGTTTTGGGG